TCTGTGTTCTGTATCCCCACACCCCACACCACCCACCGAGGGGGTGGGGGGGGGGGTGTTTGGGGGGGTTAAGACAACCCACAGTTAGACATGTGGCCAAGTTTGAGAAACACTGATCTAAACCCTTCTTTAATTTGATGCCTAGAATTATATAGACTTTTCTCACAACAGGCTTTGACCAATGCAGGCGTGACTTCTGAAAGCAGTGTTTTCCACCCAACTGATCCCCCTTGCATTTTTTTTTTAATAGGGCCCATGGCGAAGCTTACCCGCATGGCCTTGCCGGGGTCACAGCTGCACAGAGATTGCAAAGAGATCCGGAACGGTGCCCACCGAGGACTCAGGTTGTTTTTGACCACCTGGTGCACAAGATCAGGGGGAGATACAAAAGTGGGCAAAGGATTCCCAAGCTTTGAACCCACAAGAAATTGCCATTTTTTTCTAAACCACACCCCTGGCCCCACATCGCCGTCCTCCCTTCTCCTTTTCAACCTAGAATCATGGTCTGTTTGGTGGTGGCCCTGAAGGATCCTAATGTTTCCTGCTGCAACGTTTGAGAAGAATCCACCCATCTAAACAAGCCCTGAGATGTATCTGTGTTCCTCTGATCATTAGAAGGGTGCTGGGTTGAGGTTCTGTTGTCTCCTTTCTGTTCTGGCTACCCTCGCTTGTCGTTTCCATAATTTTTGAACTGGGAGAGCGCAAAGCCTTGAGGAAAAGTGGAGTTAATTTATTACCTTTCAGTCCTTTACTAATTCACTTACACAGCACTTCTCCTCCCCACCAGCCCCGTAATTGTGAAACAGGATAGGGACCGAATGAAAGAATCTCTTTTTAAAAAATCATTACAAATACAGGGAATTATATTTAGATAGCCCATCAGTTAGCTTACTAATCATCTTCTGCTCCTCTTCAGTGCCATTCAAGCCTGTTTTCTTTTCATCTCCAGTTTTCCCTTTTTTTTTAGCCCTCCCCCAAATTCTCTGGAGTGTCCATAATATCCTCACCTCTGTCCTCCAGACCAGAAGCTCCGACTCGCCACTGCTAACCTTATATATTTCCAAGAAAGGATCAGATTTGCTGAAGAAATCCTAGAGGACAGAAGACACCAAAGCAAGTTCTCAAAAACCTCCAGGGAGTTATGGAGAAGCAACCATACGTTGCAATCAACGGGCGTCGATGACAACAATGATCCAGATTTGATATCACACCAGCTGTTCTCTCTCTCTCTCTCTCACACACACATTCCTCTAGACCAGTGTTTCTCAACCTTGGCCATGCTGGCTGGGGAATTCTGGGAGTTGAAGTCCACCCATCTTAGAGTGGCCAAGGTTGAGAAACACTGCTCTGGACATCCCACTTCCCACACTTAGGCTGAACTTAAACCACCTTTCCTACAAGAGGCATGACTCCGAGACCATCCACGTTCTCCAGAGAGCACATTTTGACAATCTTTACCACTCCTTTTTAAAACTAGGCTGAATCCCCTCCGAAGGTCGTTCTCCATCCCTAATCCAGGCACAAACACACCCTTGCAACCTTTTTCTTCTGCTGGGTTCCCAGGAGGTAGCCTAAATTCTGTCCCCAGCGCAGGAGTAAGACCGCCTTAAGTCTCCCATAGCTGGCCTGGTGTTAAAGGACAGTTTACCCCTTGTTCTGACACTCTCCCAGGACAGCCTTAAGGGGGTAAAACTGGCCAGGCTTTGTCCCCGCATTGTTGGAGAGAAGTTAGGGAACTGTCAGGGACTGGGAAGAGTGAAACACACGCAGGCATTACGCCTCGCTGATTGAAGGATGGCTGGAATAGGACTTTAATTCCGTGGTGCAGAAAAGTCCTTAGTCCTGCTGAGAGCAGGTTCTCTTGAAATGAGCTCCGCCCAGCTGGGAAGCAGCTGAAAAAAGCTGGAAAAATAAAATGGGCTATCCACAGACTGACGCAGCTCGCCTCCCACAACCACACTGCGTCTAGATCCAGTTCTCCCTCCCGCAATAAAAACAGGCCCGCATTGCTCCGAGCAGCTCTTTCATCTCCTTGCGAAAGGAAGAAAAGACGCCTGGAGCAACCACAGTGGCGTAGAAATAAAAGTCAGCACGATCGGGAGCCTATTTGACGGCCAGAGCAGCGATGAAACCCGCTGCTCTCAGCGGACGGCATCTGCAGCGTCCTGGCCGAGGGTCCCGTTCAGGGTGACCCAGACCATCCTTGGCACGGATGGATGGCACGACATGCTATCTTGCCACCCCGACGAATCTGTCGGTTTCCTTGCAAACAACGTGGCTGGTAAGCACTCTAGTTTGGAGGCCAAATGGGTCGCGCTGAATGAGGAGTGGGAGGCCTCCTGTGTTACCCCCGGGAGTCTTACGTGCTTGGGGAACCCAAAAAAAGTGGGTAGGGTTTTTCTGCAACGTGGCCTCTGCCCCTTGCTACTCTCCAGCTGAGTTCCAGTAGGGAAAGGTGGCCGAGCATTTGCCTGCTCCACCGGGAGATGCTGTGGAGTTTGGTTCTTGGACCCATATTATTGAACATCTGTTGGAAACGGCTGAGAGGTGGCCCATTGGTTTGGGGTGAGGTTGAGGAGGAGATGCTCTTGATCTGACCCTATCAAGGCAGCATTACTGGGTGTTATGCAGGTGGAAACCGTGGGCAAGGAGGCCCCTGGGAGAATGAAATACCGGGCCAGAGTTGCTTTTCCTCTCATCTTGTTTTAGGCTCTTCTCACGCTCTAATGCAGGATTTCCTAACCTTGGCATTTTCCAGGGGTGTGGACCAACTCCCAGAATTCTCATCAAAGGCCATGCTGGCTGGGGAATTCTGGGATCTGGAGTCCACACATCTGGAAATTGCCAAGGTTGGGAAATAGTGCTCTAATGCAGTGTTTCTCCACCTTAGCTATTTTAAGATGTGTGGACTTCAACTCCCAGAATTCTGGGAGTTGA